GATAGGGTGGGAGGGAGGTGGATCTGGGTGGGATGTGCTTCAGAGGGTCAGTGTGGATTCAATGGGCCAAATGGCCTGTTTCCACACTGTAGCGATTCTATAAGGATCTGCTTCTTTTAAACTCAGATGCAGAGGAACAGAGGCGAGCTAATAAGCTGTATCTGGAATTGCAATGCTAATGTTTCCAACGTGAAATTATTAAACAGCCACATCATACCAAACTGAGTGATTGGCCACTCAAATGATTTATCCCAGCAAATTCAAACTCAAGAAAGGTGAAAAAACTCTAGACACGAGCTACCTGCTTGAAGTTTGCAGAAAAGCGTGAGAGGTGGTCCAGGAAAATCATCCATCAAGAATTTATGTGCTTTTGTTCAGGTCAGCATGGTGGCTCAGTCGTTAGCACTGCTGCCTCACAGCGCCAGGGACCTGGGTTTGATTCTACCCTCAGGTGACTGTCTGTGTGGAGTCTGCACATTCTCCCATGTCTGCATGGGTTTCTGCCAGGTGCTCTGGTTTCCTCCCACAGTCCAAAGATGTGTGGGTTCAGTGGGTTGGCTTTGCTAAATTGCCCAAAGTGTCCAGTGGTGTGTAAACTAGATGGATTAGCCATGGGAAATGTAGGATTACAGGGAAAGGGTAGAGGGATGGGTCTGGATGGGATGCTCTTCAGAGGGGCAGTGTGGACTTATTGGGCCTGTTTCAACACTGTAGGGATTCTGTGTTATTGTCCTTCTGCTCTATATCAAGTTCTTTGAAAAGATTGTCCCTGCATTCTAGTATCAATCATGTAAACGTTCAACAAAAATATCCTGTTTTTCCATTTTCAGATCTTCTTTCATCATCTCTGCATTTCCAGCATTTTAGGTTTTGATTTAGTGTTTTCATTGCTCCCATTTTTCACTTTTTATTTCCCACTTAAAGGTACATCTTCACAGCCTTAAACATCCCAAATGGAATTTCCATTGGTCCATTTCTCTAAGAAAACAAATGAAATCTGGAACTACAATATGGACATCAGATAGTAATGGGACTAGACAATGCTGTTATGCCTTTCACATCCAGATAGTTGTCCAACAGGTCACAGGTGAATAACGACCATTCAAGCAAGCTATAGCAGGGTAATTGACCCCAAAATCAGTGACAGCCTTCATAACAGAAAATTGAAAACATAAACAGATGCCGTTGAAAAAGAAGTTAAAAACATTTTTGAAAACAGTTTCCAACATTTTGATATTCTTTCTACTGCTAAGGTATGTAGGAATTTTGACAGAAATATCCACTTGATATAAGTAAGAGATTAAAAAAAAATCAAGGAAACCTTATCAACATTTAGATAATGAGCTTTAGCAATTGTTCATCATCTGGTGAAAATTATTCCCATTTCACTGATAGACATCACAGTTTACAAGTCACTCAAGACTTCATTATTTCGAAGCAGTCCAATTGTCTAGGTAGTGTCTAATATCCACAGTATAATCTCTATCTCTATCATGAAACTCATCAGGGATTAAATACACCCAACAAAACCAACGATCATCTCTCATAAATTGTGCAACTAATTCAAATAAACCTATATACAACTTGACCCAAACTGTTATTCTATATATATATCATAGTTTGTGATATAATTACAATTCCAAGTTATAAATACATCAAACGTTCCCATGCATCATTTAACATGATTAAATAATGAAAATAACCATGTGATACTGACATTTTAAACTGAGAAAACCATCACATTTGTGCAAGGATTTACAGAATATATGCAAATATTAATTCATTTCATCTTGATTAAAAGAAAAGGGCTTGTTTCTCTCAATTCCTTTCATCAATTTAACAGCATTATAATACAGCAAATTCAAGAAATCTTAGTATAAAGGAAAACAGCTTTCATTTTAAGCCAGTCTCTGCAAAGTTGCAGTAAACACTGCATTATATTAGCATAATTGTCCAGTGTGATATTTTCATGAATTTGTCATGAAGGTTGCATGGACCTATCCTTAATTCCTGTACAGGGCATAGAATTAGGTTTACTTTCAACATGACCTCAAAGATTTGCCTCCATCAGGTGCTTGTTTGAGATCTTTTTAACCTGTTCACAGTACTTCAGTATATAGGGAACAGGTTAATTAAACCTCTGGGCTCCAGAGAAAGATTTGAATGCATCTTGTCACATAAAGAGTGGTGTGTCAGCATATTGCTAAAACCTGGAAGGCATATTGACTAGACAGTACTTTAGTGACAAAAAGTAATACTCAATATGGATTACTGACTCCATTGCCTTTTGTCATTCATTCCATCTGAAAACCAGGCAAGTTTTTAAAAATGGTTATACGCTTTCAACCACTAACATACTTAAAACTTTAATGTTTAGACTGGAAAGGAAGACTGCGGAATTTGTGCAGTTGCATATTTATAATAGAATGTTAATCTGGGGAAAAGATAGAAACCATGTTAATTAATGTTAATTAACCACTTGGGGGAACCTTGCTCAATCCTGGGTAAATTAGTCCCTGTGCTGTAAGGACTTGAGATCTCAACTAATCCTTTATTACATTAAAGAAAGGGAAAAAAAGTGACATTATTAACATAAGACTGTTATAAAGGAAATTTTGTCATTTCTGTGTGGTACAGAGATGTTACAGATGGCTTCATAAATGGGAACCTGATTAAATATAAAAATACCTCTAAAAATTAGTTAAATAATTCCAAATTTTGTGAAATAATGTTACAGGAAATCTTTATGTGCTTTTCTCAAGACTATAATAAAGGTCAATGCTAATGAAAAGCTAACTATCTGTGAAAGAATGCCTAAACTCAAGATTTTAGTTTTGAATCTGTGAAGACACCCTGAATTCTAACCTTTCAAAATCTCAATAATTACCAGGGCATAAGGATTCACACAGGATTAACTACTCTGTTTCTTATTTAAGGAAAGGGGAAAGAGTTGACAGTTGTTACTGAGAGAGGTCCTACTGTGCCTTTGACAAAGCAGTTCCCAATAATTCTGAAAAGACTGCAGGCAAAATTCACTTGTTTTTCTTCTACTTAGGTAGATGAGAAAGATCTAAGAATAAGTTGGAAGTAACAACATAAATTTATCCCAAAATGTAAAATTTATTGGCTGCCTGCCTGCCTGATGGATGTGCTAATATTAAGAAAATATTTTGAAACAACTGCTCACCTTTGCACAAGGTGGGTAGCATCAATCCAGAAAGACTGGCCTGAAAACACTTATGCAGTGCTGTAATTACTAAACAGCATACAGGATAGTAATGGGATGTGAGCAAAACACTATTTCCTGAACAAAGCACACCTATTAGAGCTGTGCACATCTCTTCTAGATTCTGTCTAGTCCAGCTACTGCTCTAGTCACAGCATCATGGATCCTGGCCAATTTCATTAACACCTTCTGCACCTGAAATATAGACATAATATTCTGGAAATGTTCGGCAAGTCTGAAAGTATCTGTGGAAGAAGGGACAGAATTAATGGACTGAGCTTTTTCAGCCCCTGAAATATGTGGGTAATGATGAGTCAATTGAGAATTAAGAAGTCCAACTTTTCACCCAAGGTTTTAATGACAAGGTGAGAATCTCACTAGTGAACAGCAAGATACCTATTCTCCAATGTAGGGAAGAGTAACTAGACAATGACAGTTCCTGACATAGAAGTCAGAGTGGGTATCAAGCCACCGGCAGCTCGCCACTTGTTTCTTTGTGCCTCCATCTTGGTCAGTAGTCCTGAAAATGTTCAGCTGCAGGGAGTCTTTCATGTTCAGCAACAGTGACCTCATCAAGCAGGTTAAACAGCCAATGCTGTTGAAGAATTCTCACAGGCAACAAATCAGAAAGTAACAAGGAGGCTTTAGTGTTCATATTTAAAGTTTTATGAAAAGTAGGACAAATTAGGATGTACACATGACTTAAAGATAGATTTTGAAATATCAAACTGACAAAATCTTTTGCCTTTTAAAAAATAAATGGATTTTTCATCATGGAATAAAGACATTTGATATTCCACAAGTATAACAATCCACTTTTCATGGTCAGTGAGCTTATTCAGAAGTATTTATATATTTTACAAGCCATTAAAACAACTCAGCCACACCTCATTCAACAAGACATAACTTTTTCAATGGTTATAACAGCAAGAATAATAGTGTAAAAAAAACTGAGGTTCATATCAAATCAGTGAGGTCTAATTATTAGACAGTGATGAGGTACATGCTTCATTTTGCTGTTTTAATGACATATTGCAGTGCAATGTCTATGTATATAGGTCTGTACGGCAAGGAAGTATAATATCCCGAACATTAACTAACACAAAAAAGTGATATGGAAAACAATTTCATAACTGGTCCAATTAATAACTGAAGCTAAAAATAAGTTTCAAAACTTTAACCCAATTTAGCTTAATAATTTAGCTTTTGCATGAAAAATTGATCAGAAAAGGCAGAAAGGATGCTATTCGAAACTTTATTAAAAATTGCAAAGCATAGTAAACCTGTTTTGTGGAACAAAATGAGAAGCAAAATAATTTATTTTGATGAAATCCTGAGCAAGTCTTGTGAAATGTGCATAATAGCACTGAATAAAGTTTAAGTATAATTAAAATCTATCGTAAAATATTTATTAACCACACCTTGATTTGATTTATAAGTAAAAGCGATATTCATAAATATTTAAGTAAAAACACATTTATTGAACAAATTAATTTCTTTGGTTCTTTACTAAATTCTAAGCAGCATAAATTAAACAATATATTTGGAAGACTGATCAGAAAAATTACTAAATGTTTTGCATATTGGATAACTGTTGAATAAAAACAATACTCAAGTTCTGTACTCCTAATGACTATTGTATATTTACTACTGATGAAAAATCTGATAAATTATTTCAGTTTTGATTTGGGGATGTGAATGATTGTGTCTTATTATGTAGTTTATTATATGATATGCTTTTTATTAGAAACAACACAAGGTCTAATGAAAAATGTTTCAATTTCTTTCTGTTTATTTTGTAGAATCAAATGCTAAAATAATGTAGAACATTACAAAGCCTATGTGTGTTTTAATTACACAATGGGATTTGGTTTTGTTTGTAACGTAGCTGCCTCAGGTGGAATTACATAAGGCTTTCAGCTTGCTTCTTTTGAGAGCAAGGCATATTCTTCTGCTAGTTTCTCTTTCTCCACTATCTTTTCCAGCATTGCTTCCAGTAAACTTGAAGCACGGGGAAGCTGAAAAAATAAAGAGAATGCATTAGAGCAACAGATTTTGCAAATTCACTTAATTCAATTTCCCACTTAATTCAATCAAATGCAATAGTCTGTCTCAGGATAATAATTAGACAATAACTGAAGTGCAAAGCGACAACACTTTAAGTAAGACCATAAGATATTGGAGCAGAAGACGGCTATTCTGCCCATTGATCTGTGCCGCTATTCAATTAGATATTTGTTGATCTGATAATCCTCAACTCCATATTCCTGTCTTTTCACTGTAATTTTTGATTCGATTACTGATTAAAAACCTATCTCAGCCTTGAATATACTTAACTGCCCAGCCTCAACAGCCCTCAGTGATAAAGAATTCCACAGATTTCACTACCCTTTGAGAGAGAAAAAGTTCTTCCACATTACTGTTGTAAACTGGCAATTCCCGAGTCTGAGATTATGCTTCTGGTCCATGAGTCTCCCACAGGGGATAACAGCTCATTCACATCAGTCTTATCAAGCTCACCAAGAACTTTATACATTTCATTACATTTTACAACTACCACGACCATCAACATTGCTAACATTCTGTTTTCCATCAGGAGAAACACAATGCAAAACGTAGAATTGTACTTTCTGTCCCAAATTAGCCTATATTGCAATTACGTAAATCTCAACAACCATATTATCTTTTACAAAGTTCCTGAAGGATTTTAGTTCCCAAGTGTTTTCAGTAAGTCAGCTATTGAAGATACTTGTCGGCCACTAAGGCATACTTCATTTCTATGGCTGGCTCTCAGTATATTTTAAATGCTGCAACAATAACTCTTTGCAAATTATCTAAATGCTCTACCTAATTACTTTTTAAAAAGTGGTCTCAATTGCATAAGCATTCCAACACTTCCAAGAATTATAAAATTTAATCAAATAAAATAACGGCGCCACAGAAATCATCCTACATTAATTTTACCAGCAAGTAATAATTGTGTGACAACAAATCTGAATTCTGTTCCACATAAAGTTTTACATAATGGAAGTGCCATTATCCATATTCACATATGCTGTCAACATTTTTTGACTTGGCTATGATTCACCAGAAATCACTCAGTTGATTTATTTCACAAAAAGTAAACATAGAAAGCAAAAGTTATGATCTGATTTGCTTAATGCAATCAATGCAGCTCATCATCGCAGAATGATATAAAGTAAAAGCCATGCTTCCTATATCAGTGGGTCATCCTGTTGGAGTTGAATAAGATTAATAATTCTCTTAGTATTTCAAACTTCTTTACATTGGGAAAATATTTCAAAGTTTCCCCTTTAACAGGATGTGGCATTCTTCATTGAGGATGCATCCTGTTCTGGGGAATACCAAGACCAATTTTGCAGACTAAAGTTTTGAAACTCAAGTGCACCTGAAAAATGTTGATCCTGAAATTGGGACAGACCACTTTTCATGACTCTTTCATGGAATATGGTGTCACTGACAAGGCTAGGCATTTGATGCCCATTCCTAAATGTCAACCACAGTGCTAATGGTCTGGAGTCAGATATAGGCCAGACAAAGTATGTGCATACAAATGCAGAAATTATGAGTAGGAGTGGGCCACTTGACAACGATGGCCTGCTACGACATTCAATGAAGTAATGTATAATTTGATTACTTCATATTCCTGCCTGCCGCCAATATCTTTTAACCTTCCCTTGCTCATCAAGAAAGATCTGCGATAACAAGGTGTACAGCTGGATGAATACAGCAGGCCAAGCAGCATCAGAGGAGCAGGAAGGCTGACATTTCGGGCCTAGACCCTTCTTCAGAAAAAAAAAATCAAGATCTGCCCCTGAATAAAAAAAAACAAAAAATTGCTTCCACCTCCTTTTGAGTTCTAAAGACTACAAACCTCTGTGAGAAAGAAAAGTTTTCTCATCTCTATCTTAAATGGGTGGCTCCTACATTGAAATAGTGGCCCCAGCTCCAAATTCTTCCTCAAGAGGAAATATCCTTCCCATATCAACACTGTCAAGACCCGTGTTTCAATCAAATAATCTCTTACTCTTCTAAACTCCAGCAGATATAGGCATAACCTGCTCATTCTTTGCTCATAATACAACCAATGTTCCCTGCAAGTTGTTCTTTGGGTCCATGCATGGTGATCAGCGTGCTAGCATAGCTTATAGCATTGACTTCCAGTTTCGGAAGTTGCTGCCACACATGGATCTCAGAAGCCTACGCAGGAGGGAAGAGAATTAGCAGGAATGTTACCAACCAAAAATAGCAAAAAAACTGCAGATGCTGGAAATCTGAAACAAAAGCAGAAGTTGCTGGAGAAAATCAGCAGCTGTAACAGCATCTGTGGAGAAAAAGCAGAGTTAATGCTTTTGCTCCAGTGACTCTTCTTCAGAATTCAATAGGGTCATTGGACCTGAAACATTTTCTCTGCTTTCTCCATAGATGCTATGAGACCTGTTGAGTTTCTCCAGCAATTTCTGCTTTTGTTTCAAACGTCCTTTGAACTGTTTCCAATGCATGTATATCGTTCGTTAAATAAGAAGACCAACACATAGAAATATAGAAAATAGGAGCAGGTGTAGGCCATTTGGCCCTTCAGGCATGCACCGCCATTCAATATGATCATTCCACTCAGTATCCCATTCCCGTTTTCACCCCTTTGATTCCTTTAGCCTTAAGGAACTATATCTAACTCTTTCTTGAAAACATTCAATGTTTTGGCCTTAACTGCTTTCTGTGGCAGAGAATACCACAGGCTTACCACTCTCTGGGTGAAGGGATTTCTCCTCATCTCAGTCCTAAATGACCTAGCCTGCATCCTCAGACTGGAACCTTGGTTCTGGACTCCCAGGTCATCAGGAACATCCTTCCTGTATTTGCCCTGTCTATGAAATCCTCCCTCAGTCTTTTAAATTTTAGTGAATAACAATAACCGAACTGGTCTCACATCATTCATCAGGCTTGCCATCCCAGGAATCTGTCTTGTAAAGCTTTACAGCGCTCCCTTCATTGCCAGAACATCCTTCTTCAGATAAGAAGACCAAAACAGCACACAATATTCCAGGTGTGGTTTCACCAAGGCCCTGTACCATTGCAGCAATACATCCCTACTCTTGTACTTGAATTCTCTCACTATGAAGGCCAACACACCATTTGCTTTCTTTACTGCCTGTTGCACCTGCGTACTTAGTTTTGGCAATTGGGTACAAGAACACCGAGGTCTTGTTACACCTCTTCCCAATCTATTGCCATTCAGACAATAAGCTGCCTTCTTGTTTTTGCTCCCAAAGTGGATAACCTCACATTTATCCACATTATACTTCGTCGACCAAACATTTGTCCACTTACTTGTCCAAATCACACTGAAACATCTGTGTCATCTCCTCATAGCTCACCACCTCACCCAGCTCTGTGTCATCTGCAGATCTGGAGATACTACATTTAGTTCTTTCATCCAAAACTTTAATATATATTTTGAATAGCTTGGGTCCAAGCACTGCTCCCTGTGATACCCCACTAGTCACTGCCTGCCACTCAGAAAAACACCCGTTTATTTCTACTCTTTTTTTCCTGTCTGCCAATGAGTTCTCTCTCCATGTCAGTAGACTACCCCCAAATCTCATGTGCTTTAATTCTACATGTTAATATCTCATGAGGTACCTTAACAAAACCTTCTGAAAGTAAACCCCCCATCTCCCAATCCAGTCTATAAAACTTTGAAAGATGACCTCCAATGCATCCACTATTTCTAGGGTCACTTCCTTAAGTACGCTGGGATTTAGATTATTGGACACAGCGGATTTATCAATGGATTTATTGGGCTTTAATGCCATCAATTGCCCCAACACCATTTCCCTACTAATACTGATCTCATTCAGTTCTTCCCTCTCACTAGAGCTGGTGTTCCCCAACATTTCTGTGCATTATTTGTATCCTTCTTTGTGAAGACTGAACCAAAATATGTGTTTAATTGGTCTGCCATCTTTTTGTTCCCAATGATAACTTCTCCTGTTTCTGGCTGTAAGGGAGCTACATTTGTCTTCACTGATCTTTTTGTCTCCAAATACTGACATAAGCTTTTATAATCAGCTTGCATGTTCCTCGCCAGATTACTCTCATACTCTATTTTCCCCCTTAATTAATCTCTTTGTCCTCCTTTGCTGAATCTAAACTGCTACCAATCCTCAAGTCTACTCATTTTTTGACCAATTTATATGCCTCTTCCTTGGATCTAGTACAATCCTCAATTTCTCTTGTTAACCTTGGTTGGGCCATAGTTGATGCAGTTCCTCTATTCCTCTTTAAATGTATGCCATTGCCTATCCCTTTAATTAACATTCCCCAATTTATCATAGCCAGCCTGTGCTTCATTCCATTGTAGTTTAACTTAATTAGATTTAGGAACATAGTCTCAGAATAAACAATGTTGTTCAAACTTAATGAAGAATTCTATCATATAAAGGTCACCCTTCTTCAAAGGGTCTCATGCAACTAGACTGTCAATTATTCCTTTCTCATTTTATCACAGTCTAGGATGCCTGTTCTCTAGATGGTTCCTCAACATACTGATCCAGAAAACCATCACGTACACACTTCAGGAAATCCACCTCTAAGGCATTGTTACGGATTTAATTTGCCCAATTATATGTAGATTAAAGTAGCCCATAATTACAGCTGTACTTTTATTGTTTGCATTTGTAATTTCCTGTTTAATGCCTTCCACAACGTTATCACTACAGTTTGGGGATCAAAACACAACCTCCACTAGCATTGTCTACCTCTTCAGGTCTCTAAGCTTTATTCATACAGATTCCACTTCACCGGAGCTGATGTATTTCCGCACTAATATGCAAGTTTCCTTTTTACCCAGCAATGCTGCTGAAATAACTCCACGGAGGCTGGTATCCCATCACTAAGTCACCCTTTATTTACACATGGAGATCCATGATGCTGATCCAGCTCTCTCAGAGACTGCTCTGAGAGTGAACAGGATGTCTGACACCTCCCTGCCAGC